CAGTGCTACTTCTGGCTTTTTTCTTTTTGCTTATGTGGTGCTGAGGAATCGAACCCAGGGCCTCATGCATGCAAGACAAGCGCTCTACCACTGAGCCACCTTCCCAGCCCCAAACAAGCTATAGTTTAGTGATAGAATGCTTTATCTAGCATGTGCAAGGCCCTGGGTTCAAGCCCCACCACTGCTGCAAATAAATAAGTTCATGAATAAATACTGTTCCTTTCAAATTTAAGACTAAGACCCAGCTGGTCACTTCCATCAGTGAAAGAAATCTGAAACAGCCCCAAATTTCATAGCTCCTCAAACCCTGAGGCACAGTTACATCGGAGGGACTTTCCTAAAGGTTTAGACCAACATTGGCTGGACCCGTACAATTTGGAATCTCATCCTAGACTTCAGAAATGTCTCAGAACGTTCCAGACTAATAAGACTGCTGCTTAAATAAACAAAAACAGGACAACAAAAAACCCAGACTCCATTCAGAGAAATTGTGGCTGAATGGTAAGTTACATGAGCAAAACTAAAACAGCCCAAAGGTATTAAGCTGTACTAATTATGTACAGGTTCTGGCTGCTCATTAATTTCTATGGAGGGATGGCTTAGATTATTGAACTCAGGGCTTCAAGCTCTTGTTTGGCTTTTTCCACTGTGGCTAGAGCTCTACCAATTGAGCTACACATCCAGTTTCTGCTTTTGGGTGGTTAGGCTCACAGATTTGTCTGATTGGCTTTTAACTGAGCTCGTCAGATCTCAGCCTCCTCTGTAACTAGGTTTATAGGCATGAGCCTCGTTCTTCTCATTCATTTTTGGGAAACAAGTTAGAAATCATGCTGTAATTTCCCAGAATTGTGGCCCCTAGTCTTTAACCAGCTGAATCCCAAGCATCCATCCAAGCAAGTTTCAGTTAACTGACTTTCTCTTGGCTCCAGGGGATTCGAGGTGAGGCATAGTTAGGGAAATGTAAGCAAACAAAATAGTTTAGCATGAAGATGCACTGAAAGAGAAAAGGTTTCCGGAGCAGCTCTAATAAGTAAGCTCACAAATTCAAGTGCCTTCAGGGTACAAATAGTTAATGTCATTATGTAAAACACCCAAGTGTCTGACTAGCTTTGGGCATACCCAAAGAGATGGTTATGAGATCAAAGTTTGCTAGGGAGATTTTTAAAAATGCAGATGCATGGGTTATACCCTTAACCATTCTGATTTAATTAGTCTAGGATATTGGAAACTACCATAATTCTACTGTGGCTAAGGGTTCAAAACCACCAGCTTAAAAAAAAAAAACATCCCATCCCTGTTCAAGGCAATCAAAACAAATGTCTCTAAAGACCACTTCGCTCCCTAGTTTAGTTTTGTAGCTACTGATTGGTCCCTCCCGATCCAGACCTTTGTGTCTTTGGACAGGAATGTTAGCAGCCTTGGAGGCTGATGGCAGTCACCTCTGATATCTAGGATGCAGCGAATGAAGGAGCAAAAACTAAAGCACACTACATACCTGGCGCTCTTCATGCTTGCCATGCACCTCAATCACATCTCCCAGCACCTTGACCTTGAGTTCCTCTGGAGAAAAGTGCTTCACATCCAGGTTGACAGAGAACCTGTCCTTCTCCATACGCATCTAGACATTGTAAGGGGAGGAGAAAAAATGGCAGGGATGATGATCACATCGCTGCACCTTCATCATTCTGCAGACTTTGCTTTCTGTCCAGATAATAGATCCTCCCCTTGTCTGCTAAAAATCCTTTTTTGAACAACCTATGTCTCTTTCAGGCAAGATTGTAAGGGCACCCAAGTGCACCTTGATTAAGCCTGAACTTTATTTAGAGGCATGGAGAAGAAGACAGATCACTGAGAGGACCCCCATCACAAGGATGGAGTTTGACATGGCTTCTGCTGCCTGATCTCTCAGCCCAATGCCTCGCTTTGTCATTTGTCTGTGAGACAAAGATCCATTTTTCTTGCTCAGGTCTCTGCCAAGTTTCCTACCCACTCAATCTGGAATGTTCTGCTGGTTCTGTTTGTCCTTCCAAAGCCCTTGCTTTCTCAGCTCCTGTTTACTCACACTTAAATATTTTTAAACCAGTCTGTTATCTATGACAGTTTCTGTCCATCTTATCAGTTCACCTCTTCTCCCACCTCCCAAGAATGAACCGACATTCTTTTCCTCATAGGCTGGGATAGCTCAGGCTACTGCCTTGCACAGCCCTGATCCCTCCCCCCAAAAGAAGGGATCAAAAATGAAGAAAGTAGTTTTCTCCAGCTCAACCTAGCTAGAATGAGATAGGTCTCTCTCTCTCTCTGAGCTCTAAAACTTGAGCTGATCAAAACTCAAGTTTGGGAAGTAGGAGAAGTAAACAAAGGAATTAAGGCAGCCTTTTACCCTGCAGATCAGAAAGGGGTGTCCTGCTGAAAAGTTCAGAGAGAGGGTGATTGTCACTGTACATGGGAAAAACATAGAATAGAATAGGATATAGAGGAGCAGTCAGCAGCTACCTGGGGGAAGGAGGCATTAGTTCACCTCTGGACGTTGAATGCCTAAAAAAGGTCTCAGGCAAGGAAGAAAAGGAAAACAGATAGAATGTCCAGGTCTCTCCAGAAGGGATGCGCTCCTGCACTGCCACAGAGAACACAGACTCACCTCTGAGAGTCCAGTGTCGATCCAGCTCGGTGTCCGCAGGAAGGAGGGTGGCCGAAGGTAGAAGGGGCTCAGGGAAGTAGAAGTTGGGAAGAGGTCAGATTCCAACAGGTGCTCCCCGAAGAACTGGTCGAAGAGGCGGCTGGGAGAGTGGAAAGAAAAGAAAGGGCGGCGGATCCAGGGGTGGTGGATGGCGATGTCCATGGTGGTTTAGGTGAATGTAGGGTTTCAGCTGGCTGGTCAGCTCCTTCAATGGCAAGCTACAGCCCGCCTCTTATTTATACAGTCTTGTGAAGCTTCTGGAATGGTGATGTCAGGGGTTTTATTATCCCCGCTCACCGCCAGTTCATGGAGACTTGTGATTGGGGATTTGGCAGTGTGACACATACCCAGTACTCACTGAGCTAAGAAAAGAGAAACACAAACCCGTCTGAGCTGGTCAGTGACTTGTCCTGGTCTTGATTCACTACTTCTCTCTCCACACCTAATGCTCCCCCCTCCCTCTTCTCCTCCCCCCTCCCCACCTTCTGTTTGCTGCAGCTGGGACAGAGTCAAGAATCCCAAACAGCTGGTCCTGTGCCCCTCCTTCTGCTCTCTGGTGTGCATGCCAGGGGAATTGAGCCAGCAACTATCTTGGGCCCTGGGCGGGTACTGGAATCTTCCTAGGCTGGGCCCCTGTGGGACATTTAACTCTTTGTTCCTCCCTGGAGAAAAAAAACAGTGAGTGACCATGCATACGTTGAGTGACATTCTGGCTTGATCTGGGTTCAGAAGACCCTCATCTTAATCTGGGCAGAGACACTTCATCTTTGTCTCCCCCCCTCCTCCGCCCCCCAAAAAAAGATGTGGGTGGGGGAGGCAGAAAAGTTGGGTGCTTATTTCATGCTATGTGACTCATAGGACATTAAACTGAGACAGAAGAGAATGGAAATATACAAAGGATTTGGGGGGGGTCTCTCAGCCAGGCTTCTTGCTGTCCTGTGGGGCACCATTGTCCCCTCTCCAGCTTGTCCTAGGCCCAGGGCCCTCAGCTGTACCCCCCCAACCCTGTGACAGCTGAGGGGTAGGTGTGGGGGAGGGGGTCGGGGGGTCCAGGCCGTGTACGCTGTCACATCCTTGTCCCTGCAAGGCTGGGCCTGAACTCCCCGCCCTTCCCCCCACCCCCAGACGCCCAGCACTATTTTGGGTGGTGTAGACCCCGCCCCCACTCCAGCTGAGCCCTGCCTGGCTCCCCGGGCCAGCTTGGAGGGGCGACATCAGACTCCAGGGGCCACTACCACCACTGCAGCCATGTCGGGCCGTTCGGTGCCACACGCCCACCCTGCCACCGCCGAGTATGAATTTGCCAACCCCAGCCACCTAGGCGAGCAGCGCTTTGGAGAAGGTAGGGCCCACAGGCAATCCCCCCGCCTAGCACCCCCACCTCCTGAAATTCTGGGCCGAGCGCCCAGTGTTATTGGCTTCTACCCCATCTGGGGCTTAACTGAACTCCTGGGGCAGGCCATCTCCCACCCCAGTCTCCCCTTCACCCCCCTAAGCAGGCCTCTGTCCCCTTCCCACTGGTCCCAGGACAGACCTCAGGCCTGGGCCTTGCCAAGTCGTGTGTCCTCTTCCTTCCCCTTCATCCTCCTTGTCCCTACTGGGTAGGCCTCTCCCAAGCCCACCTGGCCTCCTCTTTCCAGCTGCCTCCCTTCCCTAGCTTCTTGACTTCTGCTTCTCCTGACCTCTCCTTCCACCTGGCCTCTACACCCTCCTCCCTCATCCTGCCTCTTGCCTCCTCTCTCTCTCTCCCTTTCTCTGCTCCTCAGGCCTTCTACCAGAAGACATCCTGACCCCTACTCTCTACCATGGCTACTATGTCCGGCCTCGAGCCACCCAAGCTAGAGAGGGAAGCAGGGCAGGGGCTTCTGAGCTTAGACTCAGCGAGGGCAAGTTCCAGGCCTTTCTGGATGTAAGCCACTTCACCCCGGATGAGGTGACCGTAAGGACTGTGGATAACCTCCTGGAGGTGTCTGCCCGGCATCCCCAGCGCCTAGACCGCCACGGCTTCATCTCCAGAGAGTTCTGCCGCACCTATGTCCTGCCTGCTGACGTGGACCCCTGGAGGGTCCGAGCTGCCCTCTCCCATGATGGCATCCTCAATCTGGAGGCCCCTCGAGGAGGCCGACATTTGGACACAGAGGTTAATGAGGTCTACATCTCCCTGCTGCCAGCGCCTCCTGACCCTGAGGAAGAAGAGGAGGTAGCCCGAGTTGAGCCCTGACTGCCACAGACCCAGCACCCAGAGAAATCCCTTTCTACCTCCAGCTGGGATTTCCAGCAGCTGCCCACCACCCCCAGAGGTAGCAGGCATCCTTACAGGGCAGGGGAGGGGCAGGGGAGGGAGGGAAAGGCACCCAGTCCACAATGTTTGGTTTGATCTCTTGGGACACATCCTAAGCCTTTTGCTTTAGTTCTTGGTGGAGCTGAATAAACCCAACTGTCCCAGGGCCTTGGTTGTGCTGCTCCCTATTCTGTGGCCTGGAAGGTGGGATGGGTGGAAAGGAAGAGGTAGACATGCTGGACAAGCCAGCTAGATGTCCAGTCCCCCCCTTTCCCTTCTCCCCCCAAAACCCCTCCTCAGTTAAATATGGCTAACATCACAGTACCCTGAACTCACACTTGGATGCTGAGATCACACACGGAAGCAGATACTGGCTCCAGATCAAATTCCTAGCTATAATTTTCTCACAATGAAACAAAAGAGAGAGTGATCCTGGGAGGGAAAAGGGATATGCCATCCAAACAGCCCAGAGGGCACTGTCTGAGCTGGTGATTAGAGACACAAAAACAAGGGTCTCCAGACTGTCTGCCGCTTTTTGGGTAGGGGTTGGGGAGAAATTGTTTTTTGGCTAGAGTGAATACATTGTTTTCCCCTACTAAGGTTTGGCCCCTGAAATGATCTCTGATTCTGAGGGACTGAGTTTGCATGCAGAAAGCGCACAGACACAGAGAGAAGCCGCCACCATTATCTCAGTCTTTCAGCCTCTGCACGGGAGAGCTTCATGGGAGAAAGCATTTGTCCCTGGCTTTGTAGCATCCCAAAGAGGCATGGCTGTATCTCTAACACTCACCCAAGACTAAATACAGAGATCTTAGGCTCCTGTAGCACTGAATATATTCTTTTGCAAGGAGAATTATAGTACCCACAGGTATGGTGTGTTCAAACAAGCCCATGATACACACTTAGGTTTTGCAACAGGACAGCAGGTTTGTGTGTGTTTGCAAAATATCCAAGAAAAGACTTTCTTTGCCCTCCACCTGATACATTTTTTTTCAGGTCTTTCATTAACCTAATTGTTCCATAACTGTGTGAGAGTAAAGACCCATATGAAAATCTCACAAAAGCTATCCATCAATCCTCTGCTCAGAAAAATACTCATACTCCCAAGTTTGTCAAGACAATCAGAATGGTTTCACACAGTATCTGACAATCCTACAAATCTTTAGGGATTTGTAGATAAGAACATTTCCTGAAGGAATTCATTACTGGTTGAGAAAAAATAAGGGCAGGCCTGGGGATGGAGCTCAGTGGAAGAGAACTTGCTTAACATGCATAAGGTCCTGGGTTCAATCCCCAGTATACTAAATAAATAGTATAAGAATACATCAGAGGCTGGGCACCAGTGGCTCACCCTGTAATCCTAGCTACTCACGTGGCTAAGATCTGAGGATTGCAGTTCATAGACAGCCTGGGCAGAAAAGTCTGAGACTCTTATCACCAATTAACCACCAGAAAAATGGAAGTGGTACTAATGCTCAAAGTGGTAAAGTGCTAGCGTTGAGAAAAAGAGCTCAGGGACTGTGTCCAGGCCCTGAGATCAAGCCCCAAGACTGACAAAAAAGAAAGAAAAAGAAAAGAAAAAAGAATACAGCAGAGAAGTAAGATTGATATATCTATCATTCATTCATTTAACAAATGTTTATGAAACCCCAAAATAATACACTATGGAGAATATATTTATATGTAAACATAAATTATACAGATGATAGTCTTATTATCTATGCTCAGGAATCTTTTTTTTTTTTTTTTTTGTCGGTTGTGGGGCTTGAACTCTGAGCCTGGGCACTGTCCCTCAGCTCTTCAGCTCAAGGCGAGAACTCTACCACCTGAGCTACAGCGCCACTTCCGGTTTTCTGGTGGTTTATCGGAGATCAGAGTCTCAGGGTCTTTCTTGCCCGGGCTGGCTTTGAACCGCCATCCTCAGATCTCAGCCTCCTGAGTAGCTAGGATTACAGGCGTGAGCCACCAGCGCCCGGCTCAATGCTCAGGAATCTTAACATCTAGTTGAGAAGAAAATTATTTCTATACAGACTTCAATCAGAACAGCTTCATATTGATCTCTTATGCAATTAAGCTTTATTTGTTTACTTGGAGGCTAGGGATTGAACCCAGGGCCTCAGACCTGCAAACCATACACTCTGTGCTACATCCCCTGTCCCCAAGATTTGTTTTGTTTAAAAGAATTCTCAAGAATCTTTTTTTTTTTTTTTTTAAATAAAGCACTGGAAGCTGGGTGCTGGTGGCTCGCGCCTGTAATCCTAGCTACTCAGGAGACTGAGATCTGAGGATTGTGGTTCAAAGCCAACCCCGGCAGGAAAATCTGTAAGACACTTATCTCCAATAAACCACCAGAAAACCGGAAGGGCCCTGTGGCTCAAGTGGTAGAGCGCTAGCCTTTAGCTGAAGAGCTGAGGGAGAGTGCCCAGGCCCAGAGTTCAAGCCCTACTACTGACAAAAATAAATAAATAAAGCACTGGAGGTTTGAAAGGGCCCCTATGCTTGCTAGGTTGGCAAGATACCACTAAGCCATGACTCCAACCCTGTGTTTTTGCTGCTTATTTTTAGGATAGGGTCTTGTATCCTGCCTGGTTGCTCATCTGAGCTACCATCACCCACTTCTTTTTGGCTTCACAGACACGAGCCACTGTACCTAGCTTCCTTTCTATGGAAATGAAGTGGGATTTTTCTGTCCGGGTTGACCTTGCACCAGCATCCTCTCAATCTCAGCCTCCCATGTGGTTAGGATTATAAGCATGAACCATCTGTGCCAGGCCTTGCTGGTTCTTTTTAAAATAGGATCTTGTTCTTGCCCAGGCATTTATCTGGACAGTGATGGCCTGTGTCATGCTTCCTGTAATTGCTGGGATGATAAGCAGGCATCATTTCATCTAGTTTCCTTCCATGGAGATGGAGTCTTGAGGGTTTTTCTGCCTGGGCTGGCCTTGAACTTCAACTCCTCCATTCTCATCCTGCCAAGTAACTAGGATACAAGTGTAGCATTGGCGCCTATCGTACTGGGTTTCGAACTTGATGAAGAAGGGCAGGAAAGAAGATGGAAAGGAACAGTTAACTGTAGTGTTGTATAGAAAAGAAGCATGTGCAATGATTGGGACACAAGGTAATAAAATAACCATCTGATAATCCACTGTGACTTGTAGTAACAATAGTTTATCCCCATTTTTCCTAAGAGGATGGGGAGAAGTTTAGAGCTGCAGACACTAAAGATATGTGTCATGTTTTACATACCTTGAGCAGAATAGCTCAGGGATAGTTCCAGAACCTGAGTTCAAGCCCCACAACCGACAATAAAATAAATTTCAGCCCTTGCACTTTATGATCCTAGAAATCTAGGACCTAAATGGCTAAGCAATTTCCCCAGTTATTTCCAATAGCAAGAAATAAAAAAGGAATCCATTTCCCTACATTTTAGATTCCAAGAGACTCTAGTATACAAACCCAGGTTCTGGACAGAAATCCTAAGAAACTTCTTACCAGTTCCTTTGATCGTGCAACTCCATTGTGGGTGTTGTGGGAGGAATGTAAGGCAGACTCCTTTGTTCATGATGTAGGATATATTTCAAAGGTAAGTGTGAGAGCACGGAGAAACATTTCCTAAGAAAATCCCAGAGAAATTTCTCTAGCTCAGGTTTCGGAGGCTCAAAGTTCCTGGCTTTATCCAAAGAAGTTTCAAATCCCCAAGGTGAGCTAGCTCTCACCTTGGAGTCTGTGTATAGAAATACTCCACTTCGGGCGGGCGGTCACTTGGGATTCATTCCAGCAGGTGGCCTCCAAAGTCCAACCTGTTAGGTTGAAATCTGACACTGACAGAGACTCACTCCCTGGGAGCTTTGCCACTGAAAACTGAACCGGGAACCAGGAAATGAACAAACCTCTTCTTACTGAAAACCCAGCGGGCTCCCTGGGAAACGAGCAAGCGCCATGGGAAACCGGCTATGCTGCGGGGGAAACTGGTGAGTAAGTAGGGTGGCAGGGTTGAGGGGACCCATCTGTTGGTCGATTGGGTGGCCTGAGAACCAGAGAACCTGGAAACGGTACCTCCCATTGCCTCCAGCTTCCTCCTGGCCCCCCACATTAGAGCAGTACCTCCTTTAAAGCTTGCTCCTTCCGGGAAGTTTTTAGAAAACAGTCAAGTCAGTTGTCTATAGAGTGGCCAGAGCAGGACTGGAAAGACAGACTGACATTGTTCTCTTTGTCCCCAGGTGGTATTGCTTGTCATGTCTGACTGAGAGTTTAGAGCCAGCCACTGTATAAGGGGATCTTTTTCTCCCTGTTCCTCATCGTAGGGCCACAAAAAGCTGGAGCTCAGAGACGTTCCTTAACTTGCTCTGTGTCACGAGGTTGGAAAGCAGCTAAAGCAAGATTCCAACCCAGGCCCCAATTCAGACTTCATACTTTCACAGCTAGGTCATCACAGATGGAATCACAGATTGAGCAAAGTGACTTGGGGCAAATGTTTATTTAAAAGGGAGGAAGTGGCAGGCAGAATGTCCATGGAATGTGTGAATAGAACTTCTCACACTCGCTGGCTAGGTGACTTTTAGGCACTCTTAATGTTTCTAGATCAGATCCACCCAAGAGAAAAATGTAGATTAACATAACTACCTATTGTTTAGAGCATAGGTTTGTTTTGAAGAGCAAAAGACACTGGGGAAAAAAACAATAGGAAGTTATGTGCAGTATTGTAATTTAACTGTTCCATCCTAGAGATTTCACACTACAATAAACGCCCAGGACTGGGTTCATCCTATCTGCTGCCTCCTAGCTAGATCATAGCACATCCCAAGGATATCTTGTTTCTAATGAAGCATCATTATAGGTAGAGACAAGTGGAAGGTGCAATGAAAAGCCCAAAGCATTTGGAATCAGTATTTTGGGTTCAAGTTCTGTCCTTCCACACAATCGCTTATCTAATCATTTAGCCGGTTTATCTGAACATAGAATGATTCATAAATCATGCATATTACATACTGAAGTGTTACTGGAAAGTAAGTGCAGCTAATCAACTTAATCTTTGAGTCTGGAAGAAGTCAGATAAGACACAAAGTAGCCAAAGCGATAGGAAAGTGTCATAGTTATAAAGGAAGACTTCAAAGTGTTAACCTTTAAAGTGATCATGACCAGCAAATATTTATTGGATATGTACTATGTACCAGGTACAGTGACAGATACAGACTTTTTAAAAAGGAAATGTGGGGCTGGGAATGTGGCTTAGTTGGTAGAGTGCTTGCCTAGCATCTGTGAAGCTCTGGATTCCATTCCTCGGTACCACATACACAGAAAAAGCTAGAAGTGGTGCTATGGCTCAAGTGGTAGAGTGCTAGCCTTGAGCAAAAGAAGCCTAGGGACAGTGCCCAGGCCCTGAGTTCAAGCCCCAGGACTGGCAAAAAAAAAAAAAAAAAAAAGAAAAAGGAAATGTGCTCCTTGACTTCTTGAGTAAGATACCACATTCTAAGGCTTTAGTTGACTCATTGAAGCAAAAAATATATGACTCAGGAGGCTGAAATCTGAGGATGGAGGTTTGAAACCAGTAAGGGCAGAAAATTCCATGAGACTTATCTCAGATTAATAAGTAAAAAGCAGGAAGTGGAGGTATTGTTTAGTGGTAGAGCATCAGCCTTGAGCAGAAAAAGCCAAGTAAGAGCCCTGAATTCACACGCGCGCGTGCACACACACACACACACACACACAAAGGAAAAGGAAAAAGAGGAAAAAACAAATAAACAAAGCACCCTTTAAAGTTTGAGTTGTAGCCGGGCGCTGGTGGCTCACGCCTGTAATCCTAGCTACTCAGGAGGCTGAGATCTGAGAATCGCGGTTCAAAGCCAGCCCGGGCAGGAGAGACCCTGAGACTCCTATCTCCAATAAACCACCAGAAAACCGGAAGTGGCGCTGTAGCTCAAGTGGTAGAGTGCTCTCCTTGAGCTGAAGAGCTGAGGGACAGTGCCCAGGCCCAGAGTTCAAGCCCCACGACTGACAATAAATAAATAAATAAATAAAGTTTGAGTTGTCCTAGATGTAAGACAACTAGAAACACAGAAAAGCTTGGAGGGAAAGATTGTAACAGCTTCTCTTACTCCATCTTCTCTTGTGTTTATATCCTATATAATATTGGGTAGTTTTCTTACAGTAATAGTTATTGATAATTTTACTATATTCCTGGAGCCCTGCTAAGTATTTTACACTTACCATTGAATTTAATCCTTACAATAACTCCTAGAATGTTTAGAATTTATTATCATCCTTATTTTACTAATAAGGACATGGAAGCCTAGAGAGGTTAAGGACTTGCCAAAAGTTGCACCATTAATCTGATATGATGAGTCTGACTCATAAGTCTATGCTGAGATACCAGGTCAGATATCCTGACCCAAATCTATTTTTTCTTCTAAAATATAAGTATAGGGGCTGGGAAGGTGGCTCAGTGGTAGAGCGCTTGCCTTGCATGCATGAGGCCCTGTTCGATTCCTCAGCACCACATAGGCAGAAAAAAAAGCCAGAAATGGTGCTGTGGCTCAAGTGGTAGAGCGCTAGCCTTGAGCTGAAGAGCTGTGGGACAGCGCCCAGGCCCAGAGTTCAGGCCTGATGACCGGACCCAAAATAAATAAATAAATAAATAAAATATGAGTATAACTACTCGGGAGGCTGAGATCCCAGGATCACAGTTCTAAGCTAGCACTAGCAGAAAAGGCTGAGACTCTTATCTCCATTAAACTTCTTAGAAAAAACCAGAAGTGGTGCTGTGCTCAAGGCTAGTGCACTATCACTTGAGCCACAGCACCACTTCTGGCTTTTTCTAAAGAGGCTCAGGGACAGCGCCTAGGCTTTGAGTTCAAGTCCCAGAACTGGGGGGGGGGGGGAAGAAGTTAGAATTAGATAAAAATTGTTATCCACTGTTTCTTGTTATCTCTATAAAACTCCAAAGACTTAAATATACTATGGCAATGGAAGATTCTTACTGTAAGATATCATTTGTAGTTGTTCTACTATGAAAATAATGACTTTTGAAAATTGGGAAAATTCCCCAAAGCAAAGAATAAAAAGCAGTTATAAACCTACGCACCCAGAGATGATGGGAAAATTTTTGTGTATTTCCATTTTATTTTATTTATTCATTTATTTATTTATTTTTGGGTCCGGTTGTGGGGCCTGAACTCGGCCTGGGCGCTGTCCCTCAGCTCTTCAGCTCAAGGCTAGTGCTCTACCACTTGAGCCACAGCACCACTTCCGGCTTTTTTCTTTTTGCTTATGTGGTGCTGAGGAATCGAACCCAGGGCCTCATGCATGCAAGGCAAGCGCTCTACCACTGAGCCACCTTCCCAGCCCCTCCATTTTATTTTTAAATATACATAGCTTGTGTGTGTGTGTGTGTGTGTGTGTGTGTGTGTGTGTGTGTGTGTGTTGGTACTGGGGCTTAAACTCAGGGTCTCATGCTTTCACTTGGGTTTTTCTGCTCAAGGCTGGCACTCTACCACATCTCTACTTGAGCCACACTTCTACTTTCTTAAATAAGTACATTTAAAAATTCCAAAACACATTATATGTGTATATAAAGACATCATATTATATATATATATATATATATATATATATATTAGATTTTGAGATAAGGTTTTACTGTGTTGCTAAAGCTGGTCTCATTCTTGCAACATTCCTACCTCAGCCTCTCAAGTACTGGATTATTGGCATGTTACCACCATACCCTAGATTTATCTTTATACTAACTTATTATGTTATTATTATTTTTTTTTTGCCAATTCTGGGGCTTGAACTCAGGGCCTGGGTACTGTCTCTGAGCTTCTTTTTTTTAAATTTATTTTTGATTGTGAAAATACTGTACAGAGGGGTTACAATTACATGGACAAGATAATGAGTACATTTCTTATCATGCATTGTATCCTCCTCCTTTGTTTCCCCTTCCCATCCCTTCCCAGCCCCCACCCGCCCCCCCACCTCTGAGCTTCTTTTGTTCAAGACTAGTACTCTACCACTTGAGCCCCAGCACCATTTCTGGCTTTTTGTATTTATGTAGTATGAGGAATCAAACCCAGAGCCTCATGCATGCTAGGCAAGAACTCTACCATTAAACCACATTCCCAGCCCTACAACTAACTACTTAAAGAGTAAAAATTTCCAGCCTATTAGGTATTTTTCCAACATCCTTTCCTTAAGAGGCTACATAGTTCCAAATGTCCAACTGGACATTCAGGATATTTCTTATTTTTCTGAAATTATGAGTAATACTGCAATGAGTATCTATATTGGCATATATATATATATATATATATAATTACTTATCAACTTATGAGATTGATTCATTATAGAGTATATACTTTTTTTTTCTTTTTTGGTCGGTCGTGGGGCTTGAGCTCTGGGCTTGGACGCTGTCCCTGCGCTCTTTAGCTCAAGACAAGTGCTCTACCACTTGAGCCACAGCGCCACTTCTAGTTTTCTAGTGGTTTATTGGAGATATGAGTCTCATGGACTTTCCTGCCCAGGCTGGCTTTGTTTGAACTGTGATCCTCAGATCTGAGCCTCCTGAGTAGCTAGGATAACAGGCATGAGCCACCAGCACCCGGCTTGAGTATATACATTTATGTTTAAGGCTTTTTTATACTGATTGACGATTGTATTCTAGAAGAAAGCACCAATTTTTCTTCCTACGACCACTGTGGGAGAGCGTCCATTTAGTTTCCTTCATGCTGGTCTAAAAATAAATCTGTCACCTAAGAATATTCTGAGGTTTGTCCAGGCTCTGCATAATCTCTAACTTGGGACAGGCTCTGTTCATTAAAATTGGTTAATCCCAGTCATATGGTTGAGAATTGTTATTTTCTTTATCCATTTAAGCAGGAATACATAGAAAACAGTAGCGTCAGGGGCCAAGGCATTAGAACATTCGGCAGTTATTACACACACCATCAGCTGAAGGGGAAGGAAGAAGTTGGTTTTTGTTCTTTTTTTTTGTGCTGATCCTAAGACTTGAACTTGAGGCTGAGTGCTCAAGGCTGGCACTCTACTACTTAAGCCATAGCTCCACTTCTGGCTTTTTGCTGGTCAATTCGAGATAAGAGTCTCATGAACTTACCTGCCTGGGCTGGGTTAAAACTGCAATACGGGGTCTGGGAAGTTGGCTCAGTGGTAGAGCGCTTGCCTTGCATGCCTGAGGCCCTGGGTTCGATTCCTCAGCACCACATAAGCAAAATGAAAAAAGCTGGAAGTGGTGCTGTGGCTCAAGTGGTGGAGCGCTAGCCTTGAGCTGAAGAGCTGAGGGACTGCGCCCAGGCCCCACGATCAGACCCCAAAAAACAAAAAACTGCAATACTCAGATCTCAGCCTCCTGAGTACCTAGGATTACAGGCATGAGCTACCAGAACCCAGCTGGGCTGGTTTGTTTTGTTTTCCTGCTAGATCCTCTGTAGTTTTGGGATGCAGATTAAATGCTCTCAACTCAGCAATGAGCCTTTAAACCAAAATCGACATCCAAACATAGATCTCTATCAAACCTGTGTGGAAAAATTCTGAAAATATTTTTCCTGTCGTAGTACAGACAACATGCTTTAGAAGTCTTGTCTGTCTCTTTCTCTCTAATCAACAAAAGAAGGAAGCGTTTCAAGGAGAGGAGAAATCAGACAAATTGGGTTGGCTCTGGGGAGATTTGGAAATGTACTAGCAAGAAAAAAGCATCCGGAGTAAGTCCCAAACTATTCAACCTATTTCCTCAGACAAGTGTTACTTCTCTGGGCAATTGAAATTGTTGACAATTCTGTAGACACACAGGCTCCGACAGGGGACCCTAGGGTACCCAAAATTAATAGCAGGACAAGGTAGCTGAGTCACTCACCAAATCTGGTACTCCCTGTTCTGTAGACAGAACTTCCCAAAGGATAGTGAGAGTTAAATATCTCTCACTTTCTCTTAATTAAAAACAATGACAGGGAATCAGAGACCGAGGTCACTTTTCAGAAAAGGGCCTGGGGATGGGGTTGGGGGGAGGGGGGAGAGAGGGAAGTCCCTAGAGGTAACCCCTGGTTGTGGTAGTTTCTAGGACTTTCAGAATGAAAGTCTCATGTTGGTAAATTCTCCCCGCTCCCCTCATAGCACCAAAGAAATAGCAATGAGCATCTCTGGATCTCGAGTAACCAACCCATTATTTGGCAGGTCTTCCTCCCCCTCTGCTGGGAATAACTTGTTAGACAATCCCAGAATAACCCTCAGCCTGCAACGTCCCTGGCATGTTGTGTGCCTGATTGCCTAAAGCTGTATTTTGGGTTTGATTATGTCAGTTGTGCCATTCCACCTTCCAGAACCATCCATGTGGGAGAGGTGTGATTCCCTGGGCAGATGCTTTGGGGATGCACCTGACTTGGGGCGACTCTTCAGGGAGATGGGAGAAGGTCATCCCAGAATATTAAGGAGACCACAGAGCAAATGAAGGAGAGAAGACAGGGAGGGAGGGGCCATTAGAGGCCTTGCAGATGCATGATCTGTTTTTCTTACCACAGGAGTTGCACATCCATTTTCCAGAAGAAAAACAAAGCAGGTAAGTTTGGAGGGGTGCATAAGGGAGGGAAAATGAAAGCAGACAATAGATGTGGTATTTTTGGAAAGGACATAAGAGTAGAAAAGATGAGAGATCTTGGAAGCATAAAGGGCAACAGTGTATCAAAGAAAATCTTTTTGGATGGGAATGTGGCTCAGTGGTAGAGTGCTTGCCTAGCATGCATGAATCCATTCCTCAGCTCACATTCACAGAAAAAGCTTCTGTGGCTCAAGTGGTAGAGTGCCAGCCTTGAGTAAAAGAAGCTCAGGGACAATGCCCAGGCCCTGAGTTCAAGCCCCAGGACTAGCAATGCGATTTTTAATTTTTTTTAGGTCTTATCCTTTCATCTTTTAAAAAAATTTATGGTTCTTGTGAAAGTGACAGAAAGGTTATGGTAACATAAGTCAGGTAAAGCGTACATTGCTTTTTGGACAATGTCACGTCTTCCCTTGCTCTCTCCCCATTTTTCCCTGCTGTCCCCACCCAAAGAAAATCTTTAGTTTACTAATGTCCAGCCCTGAACTACGGGATCTCATCTTTTCTATCATTCCAGAGTGGTTGGTTGCTTCTTTCATCTAGAAAATACTACTGAACAAATTTAGCAAATACTACTACAGTATATGTAAGCCACTCTGTAGGATCCCAAAGAGGAAGAGAGGTACAAGGAACTCAGAGTAGTAATCCCAGCTACTTAGGAGGAGACAGGAGGATTGTGAATTATGATTTGGAGGCCAGCCTGAGAAAACACAGCAAATGCCTCCAGGTGATGATGACTCATGCCTATAATCTTGGCTACCCAGGAAACTGAGATCTGGGATTGCAGTTCAAAGCCAATCTGGGAAGAAAAGTCTGTGAGAGACTCTTCCTATGTCCAATTTGGAGGAGAAGGGAAAAGGAATAGACCGGACTCGATCATCAACAGGCCAGGACTGTTTATTGAGGAACAGCAAGAGGCACAGACCTTCCTGAGGGTTTGGAGGTTGTGCCAGAGTTGGGACAGGGGCTGGGTTTTTATAGGAGGTCCGAGCAAGGAGGCAGAGGTTCATGAAAACGCCACTAAGTCAAGGAAGGTGGGGGCTTTTCAGTTGGGCCCACAATGGGATGTTTACAGCTGGGCTTGGGTGGATTGCCCTGCCTGCACATCAAACCAGTTTGCTTATGCCTGGGATTTTGCCTGGTGTCAGTATGCACCTGGGACAATATGGTGTGGGGGTCAACCCTTCACAATTAACCAACAAAAAGACAAAAAGTGGAAGTGTGACTGAAGTGGTAGAGCACCAGCCTTTGAGCTTGGGAAAAAAAACCAAAACAGCAAGAATGAGAGGCACTGATTTCAAACTCTAGAACAAGCACAGAAGGGAAACAAAGAAAAGAAGAAGAAAAAAAGACAGCAGATAACCAAGGCCCTGGGGGAGAGGGACATTAAAAGGTTAGGAGTGTGGCTCAAGTGCCCTTGGGCACAATACCTGAGAGACAGAGACAGATACTGAGAGACAAAAAGAGAAGAAGAAGGTGATGGAGAGAGAGGATTCAATACTGAGAAGAGAAGAGAGAAGAGAATTGGCTCAAATGAGCACTTAATTCTTTTTTTTTTTTTTCCGGTCGGTCATGGGGCTTGAACTCTGGGCTTGGGCTCTGTCCCTCAGCTCTTCAGCTCAAGGCAAGCACTCTACCGACTGAGCCATAGCATCACTTCCAGCTTATCTAGTGGTTAATTGGAGATAAGAGTCTCACAGACTTTTCTGCCCAGGCTGGCTTTGAACTGTGATCCTCAGATCTCAGCCTCCTGAGTAGCTAGGATTACAGGCATGAGCCACGGGCACGCAGCAGCATTTAATTCTTTTTATGTGTTTATCTAGTAGACAGTAAGTCCTTGAGACAGAGGAAACAGCCAGTTTACCCCAGGGCATGTTATAGAGTCTGGCATATCGTGACCTCTCATCATGTATTGGTGGAGCTATGTTAGGGCCTGATGGAAGTCAGTCCAGGCAGACAGTGAAAGGGTCAGGACATACAACCTGTGAAGGTGTCTGGATGTAGGATCAGTAGACATGAGAGAAGTGGGAATGGAGGTAGAAAGGTTCATTCCAAGCTCACCAAATAGTTTGATAGAGACTGAAAAGGGCTGTCTCAATAGAGACAGGGATGTAAGTTGGGTTTCTTTTCCACAGAGAGCCAAGTAAGACGCACATCAAAGCATCAGCAGCAAGAAGAGCTGCAGAAGAATGGCACCAAGGTAATGTCAGAGTTTGAACTCAAACATTGGATGTTGTCCCTGAGCTGTTTTTTGCTCAAGGCTAGGGCTCTACCACTTGAGCCAGAGCTCCACTTCCATGTTTTTGGTAGTTAATTGGAGCTAAGAGGCTCACACACTTTCCTGCCCAAGCTAGCTTTGAATCATAATCTTCAGATCTCAGGCTCCTGAGTAGCTAGGATTACAGGTATGAGCCACCAATGCTCCCTGCTTTTTGAACTACTTAAATATAGAATCCTAGTACTCAGCTTTTTTACCCTGGGACACATATCTCAGTCATCTGCAGAATTCCCTGGTGCTGCTGAGTTTCCTCTATCTTTCAAAGGGGCAAAGCAATGGGACACCAGTTCAACTTGTCCTGCATGAGAGATAAGGGGGAAATGTAGGCTCACCTTTAATCCTGTCAATTTCTCCCTCCCCACCCAGGGCCATGAAACCACTGGACACACATATGAGCGAGTGTTACAACAGTCTGTATCTCAAAGGAGAAGTCAAGCCCTTACATCAGACAGCGATTTGCATTATGCGGACATTCAAGTGTGCACCTCTATCCAGTCTCGCTCAGCTAGCGAGGTCAAACACCAGCATTTACAAACTGCTACAGAGTATGCCACCCTTCACTTCCCCCAGGGGACACCACACTATGACAGCAAGAATGGGACCTTGGTGTGAACTTTGGGGAAGGTGGACCAGTCTCATCATTTTACCACTACTCCTATGGGAAGTAATCTTCTGCTTTGAGAAATTGGTGACAGCCCAGGGATGTTACCTACTTGATTTTTTTTTAAAGTCCTTGTAATGGTGTGTGTCCCTTGTCTCTCCCTAGGACTCTTTGTTACTGTTAGTTTGGAGTTGTGGTTAGATTAGCTATGAATGGATGGATGGATGGAGTTCCACACAGAAAGGTAGGAGTGTGCAGGAGGTGGGTCTTCAACCCCTCCAGCATTGCTTGGGCTCCCAAGTGCAGAAGGAAAAGGGTCCTATCTATGCACGTGGGCTTCATTTAATGACTTCTTTTGTTCACAGTGAATCCAGAGCTGAAGAATGGCTCTGGAAAAGCATTCTGAGCTTTTTGCACACAGCCCAGGGACTGGCTTGGGCAATTTCCTTAGTAGCTGGCCCTAGGGTTCCAGACAAATGAGGTCAAGGGTGAGGCAGAAAGCCTTCCAAACCACCGGCCCCAAGGACTTCAACTCATTGATACTAACAGCCCGGAGATGCCTGGAAACTCCTTTGGATGAACTGATGTTAGTTCTTGTCACTCAAAGCCACTAGAATCAATAAAGGAGCATAAAGAACAAGCTTGGTTCGTGTTCCGGGGCGGGGTTTTGCAGCTGTCACAGTTCAGTGTGCAGGCCATCAGTCAATCCGGGGATCCAACTAGCAGAGGGCCGGGTAGTCTCGTTCTCTAGGAGGCAGAAGGCAGAGGACCTGGGGTGTGGCTTAGGCAACAGGAAGCGAATCCCCATTGGTTGAAATTGGACTCAAGAGGCGGGTCCATACCGTCAGGGGCGTGGCCGTGAGGGTAGGGGCGGGGTCAGAGCTGACTAGGATCGTGGGCTGCACAGTTAGGAGAGCGAGTCTAGCCCAATGGAGGCAGGGCATAGGCCGGGGAGAGGAGGGACTTGGAAGGCTGGGGGCGTGGCCAAGGTCTGCACCTGCTAGTGGCGAGGCTGTCACCATGGTAACAGGAACACAGCAGCAAATTCTTGGTAAGTGCTGACTGGATCCACCAGAAAGGCTGGCGGAGACAGGTAAGTGGACAATATTCTTACTCATGGTTAAATATGCACATGGGAACGAGGGTGAGGTGGGAAGGAGGGGGAACTTTCAGGGTCTGGGCTTTGTAGATTCTTACGGTGCATTTCCTGTCGCAGACTTTCAGGGTGTGGAAAACCAAAACCGTGGAAATGCACTTTTCTTTCTTTCCAGATACCTCAATCTTGATGGTTGATCCCTGCGATTCTCTGCAGATGGGTAGAGTACTAAAAATGGAATCGTGCATGCACGACGACATTCACACACAGTTGGTAATAATAATAATACCGACTTTATAGAGTGTTGATGAGAATTTAAAGCACTTCCACCATTGCATAGTAAGTATGTGATCGGGGTTGACTGCTATCATCATCGTAGACGATGTTAACATTATTTTTTCCAGCATGTTCTGCAAGGGGACTAGGAAGAATTGAGCCATAGGACTGTCTCTGTCACTAACCAGCAGAAGCGTTAAGTCCCTAGCCTCTTTTCTCTATGTAAGCTGAGAGTAAAGAAAAATTAACTCTCAGTATCAAATAAGATGCTGGAGGTAACACTTTGTAAACTTTTAAAATTCTTTATACAAATTCTGGGTGGGAATGTTAAGTGCTTTCTTTCTGTGTTACAACTGAATTCCTCAGGACGAAAAGAGTTAAGCGTTTGGAGTCAGAGCTGCCATGTTGTCTACTGATTATCACCAGAATATGGCTTTTGGCCCTTGGCTTATAAATGGAGGAAGGAGGGAAAACAGTAAGGAAACATTGCTCTTTATTCCTATGAAAACCTAAGTAAATAAGCTTCTTTTTGTATTTTTATTGTTATTATAAAGGTGATTACAAAGAGGTTACAGTTACATAAGAACAGGTAAACAGTACATTTCTTTTTTGACAATGCCATCCCTTCCCTTGCTCTCTCTTGGTTTTTCCCTACTGTCCCCACCCACAAGTTATATAGTTTATTTTTCACAAAGTGTCTAGTGAGTACCACTGCTGCATTTATTCACCCTTTGTCCCTCCATTTCTGTGCCCCCGTTATACTCCCAAAGACAAATAATGAACAAACAAGACAAAAGAAAACAAAAACAGCAACAAAGAAAAAAACCCTCTTGTTTCCACTTTAAATAAGCTTTGAAATGGCTTTGCGATGTAGCCAGGTTATGATGTCAACACTATCATAGGATACATTTCCTGTTAATCAGAATCCTAATGCTGACACTTCAAGATGATGGCAATTGGTAGATTTAGGAGGAAGGACTTGATCCTTACTAGGATAGTTTAAATTTACTTGTTTATTTTTGCCATTCCTGGGGCTTGACCTCAGGGTCTGGGCACTGTCCCTGAGCTTCTTTTGCTCAAGGCTAGCACTCTACCACTTGAGCCACAGCTCTACTTCTAGCTTTTTCTGTTTATGTGGTGCTGAGGAATGGCACCCAGGGCTTCATGCATGCTAGGCAAGCACTCTACCACTAAGCCATATTCCCAGCCGTGGTTTAAATATTTTGGAGTATTTCCCCCCTCCCTTCCTGCACAGCTGTACATCTCTTCCTTTTTCTATTTAAGGTGATGGCCCTGATTCAGCTCTACTAGAGATTCTGAAGATGGAGACTCAGGTGGTCATGAGAGTCTGTGACTCCTTGCGGCCAACAGAGCCCTCTGTAAGTTTCTGGTATTCTGTTGGGAGCATATTTCTGGAATTTCAGTTCTACACTGGGGGGGTGGATTTCTCTATCAGAACTCAGATCCTAGAAGCAAAGAATATTTGCCTTCTTTTTCTTGCTTCACCTTGTGGAAATTTTAGCTCACTTGAGTCTCAATTCATCATCTTTGTTTTTCTTTTTTTAATTAATTTATTTTTATTGTGAAGATGCTGTACAGAGGGGTAACAGTTACATGAGTAAGGTAATGAGTACATTTCTTGTCCAACATTGTTACCCACTCCTTTGTTTTTCGGTCACTATCCCTCCCCTCCCCCACACTTCTTCCCCTCTTTGTTTTTCTTTTTTTTTTTTTTTGGGTCCAGTCGTGGGCCTGAGCTCTGGGTCTGGGCGCTGTCCCTCAGCTCTTCAGCTCAAGGCTAGCGCTCTACCACTTGAGCCACAGCACCACTTCCGGCTTTTTTCTTTTTTCTTATGTGGTGCTGAGGAATCAAACCCAGGGCCTCATGCATGCAAGGCAAGCGCTCTACCACTGAGCCACCTTCCCAGCCCCTCTTTGTTTTTCTTGAATTAACAAAATCTGTCAGAGCTTGAAAAACTCTTTTACAATTGATTAGAATGTCTGCAGTGTTTAAAACACTTTTTAAGTGTTTACTTCAGAGATAACATGTTAATTACAGAACACTTCAGAAATATGGTAAAATATGATTAAAAATAAACAATTATTCAACAGTCTCCTACATGTAAACATTATATTTTAGAATGTATTTGTCCAGTCTTTTTTCTGATATAAATTTGCATGAGAGCATATTATATAAAATTTTTGACCCTTTTTTTTCTTTTTGTGGGGGTGAGGGGTTTGAACTCAGGGCCTGGGCACTGTCCCTGAACTTTTTGCTCCCTCTCACCTCAGCCACAGCTCCATTTCTGGCTTTTTGGTAGTTAATTGGAGTCTCATGGACTTCCCTGACCAGGCTGGATATTGTCAATACAGAAAGAAGCAAGGCAGCCTTTACAGTTTGCCTAATAGAGAAAACTCAGGGATTACTTTACTCCCAAAACAGCCACCAGATGGCGCTACCTCAATCTAATTTTCACCGATTAGGATAACAGGCCTCTTGAAATGTGAATTTAAAAAAAATATGTAGACTGTATTTGCATATCTGCTTTGGCACAGTTTATATTAAGCAATACCATCTGGTGATTACTTTGGCACCATCCTAACCTAGTCTCTCACTACTCCGTCTCAGTTTTTTTCCTGTTCTTCTACCCATTCGTCTGTCACTTTCACCCTGTATATTTTCCCCAATTCTAACTTTGAATTCTCAGTTTTCCAAGTCTTCCTTCACTATTTTTCCCGTTCAGTCTTGTTTCTTGTCTCTGTGTGTTGTATGAGTGCTTAAATGCAAATTTAGTTCTTCAAGTTTTTGCTTAAAGAATAGAACCTGGCATGTAATTATTTATAATAGATCCCCAACATATATGTAGTGGCTGTTGAATGAAAGAATCCATGCATTTGTCAAGGGAAATACAGAATGCCAAAATTTTTCATTTGACTTCAGAATACAGTTATAGAGACAAAGATCCATAGTCCTAAATTAACCATAACTGTTAAATGGTACAGCATTGAGCATGCTAAAACTTTGAATTTTAAAAAGAGAAAGATGTATTCAGTCAGTATTTTGTTAAACATCTACTGCATGCCAGACAGTTTTCTTGGCACCGAATATTGTAAAAACAAGTTTTAAAAAGCAGTAACAAAAAAACCCAAACTCCTTGCCCTCATGAGCTAACTCATGGTAAGCTCTTCGAGGAGGAAACAGCTAATAAAGGGACAAATAAGCTGAGTGTGATGATGCTCTCCTTTAATCCTGGCATTCAGGAGATGGATGCAGGAGAATTGTGAATTTGTAGTTAGCCTGGGCTAGACAGCAAGACCCTGTCTCACAAACAAAGGAACAAATTACTGGGTACCAGTGGCTCACACCTATAATTCTAGCTTCTCGGGAGGCTGAGATCTGGTGGACTGCAGCGCCATGTAACCCCCAGGTTGAAAAACCTGTGAGACTTCATCTGCAAATTAACCAGTTTGGAAGCATGGCTCAGGTGGTAGTGTGCCAGTGGACCAAGCAAACCAGGCCAGAGCACGAGGCTCTGAGTTCAAGCCCTGGCACCAGCAAAACCAAACAAGGAAATATAGAATAGCCACAGAAATGATGAATGTTATACAGAAAATAAAAACAAATCAGGCAAAGAGGCCTGAGAATACAGATTTGAAGGGAAGTTGAAGCGTGATCAGAGGAGGGATACAACTCAACAGTAGAGAGCTTGCTTAGTGCATATGAGGCCCTGGGTTCATCCCTAGGCTTCCTTAAAAAAAAAAAAAGAAAGAAAAAGCGGTCAGAGTTGTTCCAGAGAAAGTGGAGCTTGAGGGGAGGAAGTAGGAGCTAGGTGTAGAGTCATGAGTGGCGGCAGGGTGGAGTATGGGATAGTCTAAGTTGTGAAAACATGGAGATGAGCCGGGCGCTGGTGGCTCACGCCTGTAATCCTAGCTACTCAGGAGGCTGAGATCTGAGGATCACGGTTCAAAGCCAGCCAGGGCAGGAGAGACCATGAGACTCCTATCTCCAATAAACCACCAGAAAACCGGAAGTGGCGCTGTAGCTCAAGTGGTAGAGCGCTTGCCTTGAGCTGAAGAGCTGAGGGACAGCGCCCAGGCCCAGAGTTCAAGCCCCACGACTGACAAAAAAAAAAAAAAAGAAAGAAAACATGGAGATGAATGAGCCAGCTAAGCCTGGTGCTGGTGGCTCTTGTGTTTAATCCTAGTGATCTGAGGATTGAGGTTCAAAGCCAGCCCAGGCAGGAAAATTT